CATAGCAAAGTACATTTACTGCCTTCATTAAAGGTGGACATAGCACAGCATAGCATAGTATAGTATAGTATAGCACAGCACGGCACAGCACAGCATAGTATAGCATAGCAAAGTACATTTACTGCCTTCATTAAAGGTGGACATAGCACAGCATAGCATAGTATAGCACAGCACAGCACAGCATAGTATAGTATAGTATAGTATAGCACAGCACAGCACAGCATAGTATAGTATAGTATAGTATAGCACAGCACAGCACAGCATAGTATAGTATAGTATAGTATAGCACAGCACAGCACAGCATAGTATAGTATAGTATAGTATAGCACAGCACAGCACAGCATAGTATAGTATAGTATAGTATAGCACAGCACAGCACAGCATAGTATAGTATAGTATAGTATAGCACAGCACAGCACAGCATAGTATAGTATAGTATAGTATAGCACAGCACAGCACAGCATAGTATAGTATAGTATAGTATAGCACAGCACAGCACAGCATAGTATAGTATAGTATAGTATAGCACAGCACAGCACAGCATAGTATAGTATAGTATAGTATAGCACAGCACAGCACAGCATAGTATAGTATAGTATAGTATAGCACAGCACAGCACAGCATAGTATAGTATAGTATAGTATAGCACAGCACAGCACAGCATAGCATAGTATAGTATAGCACAGCACAGTATAGTACAGCACAGCACAATATTGTATAGCACAGCATAGTATAGTATAGTATAGCACAGCACAGCACAGCATAGTATAGCATAACATAGCAAAGTACATTTACTGCCTTCATTAAAGGTGGACATAGCACAGCATAGCATAGTATAGCACAGCACAGTACAGCATGGCATAGCATAGTACAGCACAGTATAGCATAGTGTAGTATAGCACAGCACAGTATAGCATAGCATAGTATAGTATAGTATAGCACAGCACAGTATAGCATGGCATAGTATAGTACAGCACAGCACAGTATAGTATAGCATAGCATAGTATAGTATAGCATAGCTCAGCACAGCATAGCATAGCATAGCAAAGTGCATTTACTGCCTTCATTAAAGGTGGACATAGCACAGCATAGCATAGCATGGCACAGCACAGCACATTTACTGCTTTCACTACAGGTGGACATAGTATAGTATAGTACAGCACAGTATAGCACAGCATAGCACAGCACATTGACTGCTTTTACTAAAGGTAGACATATCCCACTGACAATACCAGGAATATTATTCTCCTGTGCCAAAAAAGAGAGAAAGAGAAGTACTCTTTTGGTTTCAAAATATTACAAGTCTCTTGCTGCATAGATGTGATTGGCATGTTGAAGGACATAGGGAAGTGAGATATTTGCTTTTCTTGAGTTTTGATGGTTCTCAGCAGAAACTCACAACGGGAGCACTGTCCAGATGACCTTTGGTGCATCAGAGGTTCATTATTCAGGGGAAAGAAGTGAGAATAATGCATGAAGTTTCCTGGGTGTTTTGATCAAGATTTTGGCACGTTTTGCAGATTAGCAGGTTCTGCAAGCAAAAGGGTCCCCTGTTTACTACCTTGTTTGATCTACCCTGTAACAGAGGCCAGGGAGGTCTGCCCTGCATTCATTCCTGTTTGAAACTAGAACAACTCTGGATAATGATCTGATCTTGATTTCAACACTTCCAGCGTTGGAGAGTCCACCACAGCCCTTGGGAAGGGAGGTGGTTCATTTCTCTCTGTGATACAACCGTGCACCTTCTTTCTAGTTGCATGGAGCTACCTTCAGCTTCCAGGTGCTGCTTCTTGTTAGACTTCTGCCACTGGATTGCAAAGAACAAACCTCTCCTTTGGTGCGTGTACTTAGAGGCAGAGATCAAGGGTGTATCTATCCACCAGTATCAATTCAATGCCACCTCAGCAGCACAGAGTTAGATGTGAGGTCCAAAGCCCACCTGAGAAGTTGGGTGAACATTGGGGTGGTTATTAGGACCTGAACTAGTTTGTTCACAGCTAGCAGGAGTAAGTCTGCCATCACCTATGACTGTAATATATACATCCCCAAAGCACCCTCCCTTCACCTTCCCTTCCAGAGCTCAACAGATAAAGCTCCTTGAGTCTTTCACTATAAGGCCCGGTTTCCAACCCTCCCATCATCTTCACGACTCTGGTTTGAACCTTCCCCAATTTACCCGATTCCTTCTTGCACGGCAGACACCAGAACTGTACCGCGGGCAGTCGGACCAAATGCAAAGACCTGATGAACAATGTCTTGCATTTGAAAGCTTGTCTACCTTTATCCCAAGTACATAGCTGACCCAAGAGAAGAGATCACCCTAAGAAATCTTTGCTTCTCAGGATAATAAATGACAGGCAGACCACAGGCCCTGAGCTACCAGTGGCTCTTCAGCTTATCCACAGCAGCTCTTCTCAGAAAATATTATCAAAGATTATTTTGTCTACTGCAGGCACTGAGTCTCGCCTGCAGTCACGGATAATGCACCGCGTGTGCTGCTGAGCTTACATATGGGACTTTACATGTGATCGTATTCAAATGCATCTGGCTTATTTTTGCCCAGTTTACCAAGAGATCCAGATTTAGTGTGTCAGTCATTATTTACGCTGCCCGGGTCTTTCTCCTGCAAACTTTATCTGTAAGGGTGATATGCTACCGCAGAACTATTGATGGATCCCCGTGAGAGCCTGTTAGAAACACACTTACCCTATGACTCCATATTTACAGTAGCATTTGGGGATTTATCAGTTAGCCAGCTTTTAATCTATTGAAATATATGCCACTTGGGGCTGGAAACCTTTATTATTCATGTTCCAAACATTTATTTGTAAAACTAAAAGTAGCACTTGGAGGAAATAAGAACCAGTCCCAGAACAACCAAGATCCAACCTGCTTGGGGTTTGGTTACCTATGGCTTCCTTCCCTGTTATTTTTCGTTTTTACCTGGCACTTGCTTTTCCCATTTTGACTGCTGAAATATCTAAAGGCTACTTGTATTTACAAACACCTTCAACATTTAGCCTGCAGCACACCACGTTGCAAGCTTTTTCTTGCTGTGATTGCTCTGTCTATGAGATCTTGTGTCTGCTCACTGTCTCATAGCTAGTCAAGTGAATCCTTCCAGTTTCTCACTGCCTATTAGGTACGTAACGAGCTGTCTTGGTGTCCACGATGTGATCTTGCTCCCAATATAAGAGCTTCCCCCCAAAATGCAGCCTTTAGGCAACAAAATGCTTCTTCCTGTAGGTCAGGTCCTGTCAGACAGGTTTCTGCAGCCTTCTCCTCCTCCCTGGGAATTATCTTTAAAGGAGATCACTCCAAATAGAAACCAAAAACCGAAATAGCAACATGTGCTTGAGGGGGAACCAGTTTGGCAGGTTTGAGGACAGCAGGTGGGGAAGAGTCTCGGCAGCAAGGACCTGGCTCACGAAGAATTCCCTCTGGGAGTCCTGCCTCCGAGACAAAAAAGATCACAGCCTCTGCTAGGAGCTGCCTGTTCGGGGAAGGAGCACAGCCCAAAAAATGAATAACCTTCCAGGCACAGGGGGGAAAAGAAGGACCCAGACCTGGAAGAACTGGCCCATTGCACCAGCAAATAGTGCAATTCTGTGGTGCCTAACATAATTTTTTTATATATATATACACATATACACACACACACACTACTATATATTTATATATACACACACACACACGCGTATATATATATATATATATATATTCGTGTTCCAGGTCAAATCAGCCTATTCATATCAATTGGGCAGAACTCAATTGTTCCCAAAACCATATCAATTGAGCAGGCAGGATTTAATCATTCAAAACACCGTGCATGGTGCTACAACTAGCAGGCATCCTCCACCCCAGGCTCTCAGATCCATCCCGTGTGCAGGCATCCTAGGTGCAGGCCCAAGGCTGGAGGTCTTGGGGTTTGGATACCCCCTACACTTGATTGAGCTAAAATATAAGACCCAGATACACAACTGACTCTCCCCTTTTGGGCTGGCTGGATGGAGGAGAGAGACACGGCTTTGGAGAGGAGCAAAGGCAGAGGATGCTGCAGCAAAAGTCCATATACCATTTAATTAAGCCCATTAGCTGGGAACTGCAGGTTCTTGCTCAGCTCCCCCTGGATTCCTCCCACCGTTGTTGAAGCAGTGAGTCAACAACACACCCAGCAGTTGGTAACGGCAGGGAGCCCTTCTCCTAAGCCTCGCTAATTTATGCAGAGATCCCCTGACAAATTATTCCATTGAGTTGGATTTCAGCTTGTAAATAGTTGCTGGGGCTATTCAATTTAAATGCCGTGATGATTACCAACATGGCACAAGGAGCCCAAAAGCAGCCCAAATGCCTGAGAGCCGGGGAATGGATGTGCAGGCTGCAAAGGGGACCATCTGCAACCAGAGCAGGCATTAAAACTTCAGATCCGCAGGACTGTCTACAGGTGCTAAAATCAGGCGTATTATGACCACCAACTGTGTAGAAAGGCCACCAAAACGGGGCACCTGACTCTCCCATCAGCGCTGCATGGCTT